CAAGTTCTTCAAGCTGAGACAGCTGAGAGATGCTTTCAGGTACTTGGCTTATAGCAGTCCCGCTAGCATAAAGCTCCTGTAAACATTCTAAACTGCCCAAGTTCTCTGGTAACTCATTAAGATTCGAACATCCTGAGAGGTTGAGAATTTGAAGTGATGTCAAATTAGTACAAATGACATCTGGCAGAGTCAAAAGGTTCTTGCATTCTCTGAGATTGAGCAGAGTAAGGTCAGTCAAATGCTTGATTGATGTTGGTAGCTCTTGTATAGCTGTCCTGCTTGCATAGAGCTCCTGTAGACATTCTAAACTCCCCAAATTTTCTGGTAACTCATTAAGATTGGAACAACCTGAGACGTTGAGTATTTGAAGTGATGTCAAACTAGTACCAATGACGTCTGGCAGACTCAAAAGGTTCTTGCAGTCTCTAAGATTGAGCAGAATAAGGCCAGTCAAATGCTTGATTGATGTTGGTAGCTCTTCTATTGCTGTCCCATCTAAATGAAGCTTCCTTAATTGTTTCATGTCCTCCCCAATCTCTGGAAGTTTTTTGAGTTTGGAACAACCCGAAAGAATGAAATTTGTGAGAGATCTCAAGTTGATATCGTTGGGAACCGCAGACAAGCTTGTACAACCTTTAAGGATTAGCTGCTCAAGGTTTGGGACTTTGTCGAAGTCAGGGGTCTTGATCAACTTTTGACAATCACTAAGGTTTAATACCGCCAGCTTTTCCAAGGGCTGTAAAGAAATTCATAAAAATAAAATAATAAAAACAAAAGTAGTATATAATTCATAAACAAATTCATACCATAGACTAAGGTTGAGTTAACTTGATAAACGAATTCAACATAAGAAACGGACAGAATAAATAATCTTACTCTCTCAATTTCCTCCCATAATTCCTCTATTTCGCTTTCAGACAAGTTCAGTTCAACAAGTTTGTCGGGTTCGAAACTTGAAGGCAGAGATTTGAAAGGACATTTGTGCCATTCCAATAAGCTTAACTCATCTGAAAGATATTCAAGACATCCAGAAAATTCCACATTGTAAATCTTCAACAATCTTAGATTGTCCATGTTTGAGAATGGATCTTTCTTCAAGTGTACTTTGTCTGGCTGAGGCGAGCTTAGGAAAATACCTTCAACAGTTTTTGTCCCCTAATAGCCACAGTAGAAAAATATTTATACTATTAGCAACATAAAATCAAATATTCAATATTCAAATAAAGTGGATATGTTATCTTGAAATTATTAATAAACAACGTTTTAATCTAAGTAAATATTAGAGATGTATTTATTAGGGAGTGCTCTATGATTCTTCTAAACTTCTCACCTTATTTTTCTTCAGTACAGGAAGGGCCACTGTATGATGCCACAATCTGCTGTGTTCTCCTTCCTTTTTGGATTCTCCACGAACAATATCTCTGCCCATTTTTTGTAGTAAATCATGCATCCACAATTTTCCTCCTACCATACTTACTAAATATTTCTCACAGAGGATGTCTATATTGATGCTTGGATAGTAACCACAACTTTCAAATATCTTTTCTAGACGACATACATCCTCGCCTTTGAAGAAACATGCAGTGTCCAAAAACATGTCCTTCTGTTCTTGATTCTCTAATCCATCAAAACTTGCTTTAAGAACACCAATAATTTTCTCCTCACCAGAGTAGTTATTATCTTTTAAAGACTTCAATTTAGTGGACCAATAGTCTTCTTTTCTGTCCCGTAAGGAGCGACCGAAAACTTCAAGAGCCAATGGATGACCATCAATGTAATCTACAAATTCGTTAGACAACTTCTTAAAAGCATCAGTGGGATGGTCTGTTTCGAGGGCTTTCCGACAGAAGAGAAGAAGAGCTTGATCCGGAGTAAGTTTCTCAATTGTGTATATTTCTCGGTGCTTATAATCTATCAACAACCTTTCATCTGTTGTGGTTACAATGATTCTACTTCCCTTACCAAACCGATTGGATAAGCCTCCACCGTCACTTCCAGCTACAGCTTCTATTTGTTTTAATTCATCCACGTTGTCAAGAATTATAAGCACCTGTTTGTCACGCAATCTTGTACGTATCACATCATCGACATCCTTTGTGGTTACTTTCTTATCCAACAAGTGATCACAAAGTTGTTTTTTGATGTGAAATAAGTCTTTTTTTTTAGATATCTCTCCAACCTTAGAAATGAAACTGATAGCATCAAATTGACTGCGAATTCTTTGACAAAGAGCTTTTGCAACAGTACTCTTACCAATCCCTGTCATCCCACAAATCCCTATTACACGAACTTCTTCCTTACCCATAGACAAACTCATTTTGGATTTAATTTCATTTACACGATCCATTCCAACAAAGTCCTTTAAATCATCATTTGAGAATGTTTTAATCAAAACACCAAAAATACGTTCAACTATCTTTTCAATCATATCTGTCTCGTATCTGCAAAAAGTTAGAGCATTCTGTAAAGTATTTGGGTCAGTATACCTCATGCTTGTAGTTAGATTTCCGGCCTCTCAACGTGCACCCTTCTAATGTCATGCGGGCTTCTCCTATACTTTACTAAAATGGTGTGTTCGGTTTTGATTTATATGGCCTATTATAGAGTTTTTCTTTGAGTGATACTCTGGTAGACTTTATACAATATTTGATCAATCTAGCTATCTGATCTCACGATCAAACACTCCCTAGACACAACTCTGATTACTAATGTAGTGTATAGTGTCCTTTATTAGTGAATCTCTCCTCGAATTCTTCAATATAATTGAGCTTCAAGCCTTCCATTGACACCTTGCTACTTTAATACTAAATGGATTTCTATTGAAAGCTAGCCAAGGCTCGTTTGGGTACTATCTCGTTTTAAGGAACTTTTAAGTTTTTAAGTTTTTGTTGTTCCATGCTATTCCTAGCTCTAACAAGTAAAACCAATAAAATTAGGAAAAATGCTTAGACCATGATACTTGATAGATTTTTCCAGCCTCACCTAAAATCTGTCAGATCATACATATTAAAAGAACCAGCCTTACCTAAATTTTGTCAGATCAAATCCTTCGGCTTCGAGTTCGGCTATTTCATTGAGAGACTTCTTCCACCTTGCCACCTTTCCTGGCTCACCTTCGAAATCTTTATCATGTTGAGCAAATGCCTTTTTAAATTGATCTCCAGTTTGCTCTCGTACTTCGGATGGCGTCACGTTGTAGAACACGGGCAAAATCAATCTGGACTCATTGTTTGCCAGTTCAACCATTTTCGCAAGTTCATCCAGACACCATGTGGAGGTCGCATAGTTTGTTGAAAGAATGATGACTGAAATGTTCGATTCTTCAATTGCTTTGTAGAGTTCCTTCGAAATGGGTTTTCCACTCTTCAGTTGTTCATCATCCCTGAAAGTGTGGATTCCGTTCCGAATCAAAGCCTTGTACAAATGGTCAGTAAAACCTTTTCGAGTGTCAAAACCTCGAAAACTGAGGAACACCTCATATTCCAGTGGACGGGTCGGAGGAGGAGGCAAAGCTGAGGAGGTTTGGGTGGTCATGGGATCAGCCATTGGAGTGACTGAATCAGTAACCAACCTGCTGTTATCTGGTAACGGAAGCTTTCGCAAGGTACATACAAGATACAAGTGTTTGCAGAACCAACTAGCTTGGTAGCTGAGCTGACAGAGTGCATTATAAGACAATAAATACTCACAGGTCAGCCTGATTAATTAGTCTAAGTACAATCCAAGATTAGTATTCTTTTAATAAAAAAGATTTGGAACTCTGTAGCCAAACAGCCAAAAGAGCAGCAGGCTTCAGTCATCTAATTTTAAGGGGTCGGTAGATTGCAGAAGGAAACCAAGGACTAAATTCTAGTTATGAACCCCAGTCCAGCCTCTAACTCTGAATTATCATATGATGACAACTAATTTTTTATTTTCTTAAGTGAGCTCCTTTGATTCTCTCGTGTAAATACGATCTGTTACTCTTATTTTATGCCAACTTGTTTGATTTCTGGTGTAAAAAAAATGGTGCGGAACCAGAGAGCAAACAAAAAAAAAATGAAAACTGATGGTGTGAAGTGTGAACGATGGACTTTCATTGGCTTCCCAAGGAGCAGGTGCACAAGCTTTTATGCAGTCAACAATGGGTAGCATAATCATTGCCACTATTTATTAGAGAGATCTGAAAATGCTTATATTTTAAAGCAATTTCCCTCCAATTCCATATGGGAAGGATTTTATTGGAGGAAGATTTAACAATGGCAAGGTTCCTCAGACTTTGTTGGTATGTCTATATATACATATGCACACAGCTTGAAACTCTTGTAGGTATTTCAAAAAAAAAAAAATTTCAATTTTTTCAATATAGCTGCATTCTATATGGTTCTGACCCAGCCTACATTCAGTGGCTCCTCTTCTTCCTAAAGTAGCCTATGACACGTACATGGTGCACCCACCCAACAACCCCTTCACCAACATCACAATCATCAGCACCAGACACCGCCGCCGTCAACGACACCCAATTTTTTCACGAATCCATTAGTGCAATGTAATAGCATAAATGATGGATTTCATATATTTCTTTTCTTGATTGTAATTGCTTTGCGTTTGTTATAACCTTTGCATTTCATGAAAACTATGTTAATTGCCACCGGCATTAAAATCCTTCTTATTTTCTTTAAATAGCATGTATATATATACGCTAGCTTCGGTTGAGGGATTCCTCAAATAAGCTTATTTGAGAGACATCCTTGTAGAGCCCACCATATATTGTATTTCATTAATCAAAACCATATATTTTGTAGATTTTCATTCGAAAATTATCTCTACAAAAAATCACTTCAATATGGTATCATTTGACTACTCAATTAAATTATTAAAATTTTAGTACTTTCTTGAAGCACCGTGTTCATTGATTTTGTATGACACAATTAGATGTTGAAATAGTTTCTGATTTAAAGGACAATTGAGGAATCCCTTAAATAAGTTTACATAAATTAGAATACATCAAAATATTCAACTTACCATGACCATAACTTTTTTGTCATTTGATCAGCATATAACAATATTCTAGATCTATGCTTCTCAACAGAATGAATTTCTGATTGCACATCTAAAGGCTTGAAAGGAGGACAAACATCTTTCACAGGGCTATGCTGGGTGTATTCGGCGTCTCCAACAAGATTCGACAGCAAACTTGTAGCTCCCACACTTCCATTATATTTCTTGTTATATGGAAAATCACCAGTTCCGTAGTAAACAGGCCGATCTGCTGCAGTGGTGCAATGACTAATTGTTTCGATGAACCCTTTGAAATCTTGGTTGTATACTAGGCGCATCCCACACATTTCAACCTCCACACCTGGAGTTTTGCATCCAAATAAAGCTTGAACAAAATGACACCGATTCAAACGTTCTGGAAAGCGTACTCGTGGAACATGAATAATGAGGAGTCGATGTGATCCCACATTGTCATCCCAATGAGATCGTAACTCCAAACGATTTATCATTTGTTCAGGACCCACAGCTTCAATAGGTGTACACAAATGACACTCATAGACTATGCGAGAAAGTTCAACATCTGAAGGTAGAGTGTAGACAACGTATAACGAAAGTCCTGCCCAGTTCTCGTCATTGTGCAGATTTAGAGGAAGAGGTAAGTTTACTGTGCACCCAGGCGCGCCGCTTTGTTCACTAAACCACTGTAATCTTTCTCGTACACAAAAAATGAAACCATAATCATAGATATGCGGAAGGCCCCTTTGTAATCCCTGCAAAAACATATATATGGTACTCATGATATATCAGGAAATTAAGTCGTCAGATTTTTTCTTTTTTTTCGGTAAGTATAAGACACAGAGAGAGAGAGAGAGAGAGAGAGAGAGAGAGAGAGAGAGAGAGAGAGAGAGAGAGAGATTTTGTACCTTAAACAGTTTTTCAAGTAATGACACCAGGTTTCTTCTCAATTGATCCACAATTCCGGTTGAAGTGGTATATTCTTGTTCTTGTACTTCTTGTTCAGTTTGAACACCGCTTGCTGACAAAATACTTCCCACACCATCTTCTTCTTGTTCTGTTTCATCCTGAGAAACTGGTACTGTTTTACTTTCATGTTGAGAGCCCACAGCAGAATCAGTTTTTGGTCTGAAATCTATAGGCTGGAAAGGAGGACAAACATCGCTCACAGAGCTGTGCAGGCTGGAGTTGGCTGCTTGAAGCAGATTCGTTAGCAAACTTGTAGCTCCCAAACTAATTCCCTTATATTTCTTGGTATCTGTGAAATCACCAGTTCCGTAGTAAGCAGACTGATCGGTGGTGCAATGGCTAATTGTTTGGATTAAGCCTTTCACATCTTGGTTGTATACGAGACGCATCCCACACATTTCCACACCTGGAGTTCGAACCAAAGCATGAATGAAACGGCAGCGATTCAATCGTTCTGCAAAGCGTACTCGTGGTATATGAATAATGAGGAGTCGATGAGACCCCGCATTGTCATCCCAGGGGGAATATAACATTAGGCGATGCATCAGTTGGTGACCCACACCTTCAATAGGTGTATAGAAATGACACTCATAGAAAGTGCGAGTACGTGAAACACCTGGAGGCAGAGTGCAGACAAGGTATAGAGAAAGTCCTGCCCAGTTGTCATCGTTGTGCAGATTTGGAGGAAGAGGTAAGTTTACTTCGCACCCAGGGGCACTGCTTTGTTCACTAAACCACTGTAATCTTTCTCGTAGAGGAAAAATAAAACCATAATCATAGAGATGAGGAAGGCCCCGCTGTAATCCCTACACAAACATATATATATGGCACTCATGATGTCATTAATTAAGTCGTCAGTCTTTTTCTGGGTATGTGTTTTTTTTGTGAGAGAGAGGAGAAAAACTTGTATATCAATGGGATAACACTGTTTTGCTATATATCCCCAACCAATCACATTCTGCCATACATGTTAAGAATTTCACATGGCAGCGTGTGATTGAAGAATAGCAAAATAGTGTCATCCCCTTGACATGTTAGTACTCTGAGAGAGAGAGAGAGAGAGAGAGAGAGAGAGAGACATATGGTACCTCAAATAGTTTTCCAAGCAATGACACCACGTTTCTTCTCAATTGACCTACAGTCCGGGAGACATATGGTACCTCAAATAGTTTTCCAAGCAATGACACCTCGTTTCTTCTCAATTGACCTACAATCCGGGTTGTAGTAGTTTCTTGTTTAATCTGATTTCCGTGATAGCAATATTCATGGTGTTTATTCAATTTCCGGACAAATTCAGGCACATCTGCCAAGTATATTAGACTCATCCCACACGCTGTCACCTTTACGCCTAGGCTATCAGGTTTAATTGAAGCTGAAATGAATCGTGTATTCGAACTTTCCGCAAAACAACGTCGTGGTATATAGCACCAATGTATAAAAGGTCCAGCTAGATCGCAATCACGGTAATTGATTACTAGGGGACATTCATGAGGATCTTCAGTTGTACATAGTTCAATACGGTGATTGCGATTGAACTTTACTCCAAATTCCTCATCAACGTGTGGTTCATCTTCCAAATTATCATACTTCCGGGCTGCTACGCAAACAAAACAAAGAGCAAGTCCCATCCATTTCCTCTTCCCATCTAAATCAGGAGGTAGCAATATTGTTATGGTGGATTCAATACTACGACGGCTCAACCATTCTGGAATATTATTTGATCGATAACCAAGTTCCAAGCTATCACCGTGACGAATTATGCGCTACAAAATAGAATCAAAAGAAAGGTAATAATAATAAAAAAAAGTTGATTAGTTAGAGAGAGAGAGAGAGAGAGAGTGTGTGTGTGAAGCGAAAGAAAGATAGAAAAACGAAGTTGATTAGAGAGAGAGGACCTCAAAGAATATTTGATAGAATGGCAACATAAGATGTTGATCTGGTAACCAAATTGCATGAGCTTTGTATTTATCACTGTGGCAATTTATATAACTGAATCCGGCAGCAGCTGACGGCCACACCGTTATTTTATTTGATTGCAGGAGAGGACAATTATGTGCATTTACAGCTCTTATACTGAATGGAAATCTTGGCAATGACTGAAGCTTGCTACAATCATCCAAGAAAACTTCTCCCAGCTGAGAAATTTTAGAGATGCTTTCAGGTACTTGGCTTATAGCCGTCCCGCTAGCATCAAGCTCCTGTAAAAAAGCTAAACTCCCCAAGTTCTCTGGTAACTCGTTAAGATTCGAACAGCCTGAGAGGTTGAGAATTTGAAGTGATGTCAAACTAGTACAAAGGACATCTGGAAAAACCAAAAGGTTGGTGCAATCTTTGAGATTGAATAGGGTAAGGCCGGTCAAATGTCTGATTGATGTTGGTAGCTCTCGTATAGCTGTCCCACTAGCATTGAGCTCCTGTAAACATTCTAAACTCCCCAAGTTCTCTGGTAACTCATTAAGATTGGAACACCCCAAGAGGTTGAGAATTTGAAGTGTTGTCAAACTAGTACAAATGATGTCTGGCAGACTCAATAGGTTCTTGCAGTCTCTGAGATTGAGCAAAGTAAGGCCATTCAAATGCTTGATTGATGTTGGTAGCTCTTCTATAGCTGTTCCATCTAAATGAAGTTCCCTTAATTGTTTCATGTCTTCCCCAATCTCTGGAAGCTTGCCGAGTTTGGAACATCCCGAAAGAATGAAATTTGTGAGAGATCTCAAGTTGATACTGACGGGAACCTCAGACAAGCTTGTACAACCTTTCAGGATTAGCTGCTCAAGGTTTGGGACTTTGTTAAAGTCAGGGGCCTTGATGAACTTTTCACAATCACTAAGGTTGAGTATCACCAACTTTTTCAAAGGCTGTAAAGAAATTTATAAACCCAAAGTACTTAAAACATATCTTAAAGACTTAAATTTGATGAACAAATTCAACGTAAGAACTGGACAGAATAAATAATCTTACCCTTTCAACTTCCTCCCATAATTGCTCTATTTCGCTTTCGCACAAGTTCAGTTCAACAAGTTTATGGGGTTCAAAACTTGAAGGCAGAGATTTTAAAGGATATTTGTGCCATTCCAAGAAGCTTAACTCATCTGAAAGATATTCAAGGCATTCCGCAAATTTCACATTGTGAATCTTCAACAATCTTAGACTGTCCAAGTTTGAGAATGGGTCTTCCTTCAAGTGCACTTTCTGTGGCTTAGGCGAGGTTAGGAAAATACCTTTAACAGCATCTGTCCCCTAATAGCCGTAGTAGAAAAGTTATTTATATAGACAAAATAGAAGCAAGTTTAAATATTCTTTTCAGCAAAACAAAAATTCAAAACTTAAATTAAATATACCTTATTAGAAGTTACGATGAAATAACTTTTTTTTTTTTTAGTAAACTACAGGAGACGGGGATTTCTCACACACACAACTATGATGCCCTGGGAATTCGAACCTAAGACCTCTAGTCTGCACGTCAATGCCCTTTACACTGGGCTAGATTCCATTGGCACAAAACAACTTTTTAATCTAAAGAAAATATGAATGGTTTGTAGTGTATGATTCTACTAAATTTCTCACCTTATTTTTCTTTAGTACAGGAAGCACATCTGTATGATGCCACAATCTGCTGCGTTCTCCTTGCTTTTTGGATTCTCTCCGAACAATTTCTCTGCCCATTTGTTGTAGTAAATCATGCATCCACAATTTTCCTCCAACGATGCTTAATAAATATTTCTCACAGAGGATGTTTATATTGCTTCCTGGATGGTAGCCACAGCTTTCAAATATCTTTTTTATACGACATGCATCCTCTCCTCTGAAGAAACATGCAGTGTCCAAAAAGATTTCCTGCTGTGCTGGATTCTTTAATCCATCAAAACTTACTTTAAGAATATCAATAATTTTTTCTTCACCAGAATAATTATTATCTTTTAAAGAAGCTAATGTACTAGACCATTCTTCCACACTTCTTTTCCATAAGGAGGAACCCAAAACTTCAAGAGCCAAAGGAAGACCATCAATGTAATCTACAAATTCATCAGACAAGTCCTCAAAACCATCTGTAGGATGGTCTTTTTTGAAGGCTTTCCGGCAGAAGAGAAGAAGAGATTCATCTTGAGTAAGTTTCTCAATCCTGTGTATTTCTGGATTATAATCTATCAACAGCCTATCATCTGTTGTGGTTATGATGATTCTACTACCCTTACCAAACCGATTAGATAATTCTTCATCATCACTTCCAGCTACAGCTTTTATTTGTTCTAACGCATCCACGTTGTCAAGAATTATAAGCACCCGTTTGCAGCGAAATCTCTTACATATCACATCATCGACATTCTTTGTAGTTTCTCTGTTATTCAGCAAGTGATCACAAAGTTGTTCTTTGATATGGAATAAGCTTTCTTTTCTAGATATCTCTCCAATCTTAGAAATGAAACTGAAAGCTTCGAATTGATTGCGAATACTCTGAAGAAGAGCTTTTGCAATGGTACTCTTACCAATCCCTGGCATCCCACAAATCCCTATTACTCGAACTTCTTCCAGACACGGACTCATGTTGGATTTAATTTCATTTACACGATTAATACCAACAAAATCCTTTAAATCATCTGAGAATGTGTGACATGTATTCAGTTTACCCAAAATCCATTTAACTATCTTTTCAGTCACTTCTGTCTCGTATCTGCAAAAAGGTTAGAGCATCATGTTAAGTATTTCGGTCAGTGATTTGTCACACTATAGTGGCAGGGTCGACTAGACTATTCCTAGCTCTTCTCATGTAAATGGGATCTTTTACTCTTACCATATATAATAGAAGCATGTTTTGATCTATATGTTTCTTCTGTAGCTTTCATATTTGAGTTGAGGATTCTCCATTCTGGCTACTATCTTATGAAGTTTATATCTGATTAAAATAAAATTCTTTTTTCTAACCAAGGAAAAAAAAAAAAGAACCTGACTATATGTTAATCATAATCTCCTCAATTTGACTGTATGTGAAAAGTTCCACTGCCATTTTGGATTTCAATTTACCTAAGTTTGTTTACCACTTCCTAACATGTCCATCTCAAGGGATCCGAGGATCCAATATTTGATCAAACTGGTCTTCCTTTGAAGCCTTGCCTCTCCCTCTCGCACTTGATCCAATATTTCGTTTTCAGTTTCAGTTTTTGTAATGATACTTGATATATTTTTGTTTATCCTTGGCCTCTTGTCATATGTTATTTTAGCTTGGCGAACATATATGCTACAAAAAGATATATAACTGAAATGACCAATATGTTATAAAAGCAGCTGCCTTACCTAAAACTTCTTACATCAAATCCTGAGCGGTTGGCTATTTTAGTGAGAGATTCCTTCCACCTTGTCACCTTTCCTGGCTCGCCTTCGAAATCTTTATCATGTTGAGCAAACGCCTCTTTAAAATGTTCTCCAGTTTGTTCTCTTACTTCGGATGGCGTCACGTCGTAGAAGACAGGCAAAATCAGCCTGGTCTTGGTGTTTGCTGCAAGTTCAACCACAGTGGCAAGTTCATCCAGACACCATGTGGAGGTTGCATAGTTTTTTGAAAGAATGACGACTGAAATTTGCGATTCTTCAATTGCTTTCAAGAGTGCCGTTGAAATGGGTTCTCCACTGTCGAGTTGTTCATCATCTCTGAAAGTGTGGATTCCTTTCTGCATTAAGGTGTTGTACAAATAGTCAGTAAAACCTTTTCGAGTGTCCAGACCTCTAAAACTCAGGAACACCTCATATTTCGGTGGAGGGGTCGAAGGAGGAGGCAAAGCCGAGGAGGTTTGGGTGGTCATGGGATCAGCCACTGCAGAGACTAGATCAGTAGCCAAACTGTTAGCTGGTAATGGAAGCTTTGGCAAGATGTTACTTAAAAGTGTTTGCAAAACCAACTAGCTTGGTAGCTAAATGATCCGCAGCTCAACCTAATTACTAAGTCAAGATTAATTAGTTTTTCTTTTAATCAAACGACCCCGTTATTATATTGCAGAGTCCCACCTCTAACTCTCAGTAATCATACGATGACAAAACGATTTGTTTACTTTTATATGAACTTTTTTTTATTTTCTCTCGTAAATGGAATCTTTTTTTCTTGTTTAATGACAACTTGTTTGATTTTCAAGTATAAAAAGATAGTGTGGAACATGAACTCATACATTATTTATTAAACACAGATCTAGAAGAGTTGAATCTTTAGCACGACTTGAAGATAAATGGTGTACACTATATTAAATTTATACTAACAGTGATTATTTTCACAGCACATCAATGCCAAACCGGCTCTGAATTCATCAATATCATCGAGTTTACCACGCTTGTTCCAAGCAATTTCGCTCCAAGTCCATATGGGGAAGGAAGCATTTGATTACTGGAAGATTTAACAATGGCAAGGTTCCCTCAGACAATTTTGTCGGTATATCTTTAATTAATTCATTTTCCCACTTGCTTCGATAATAACCAGCTGAACTGAATGAGAAGCCTCTCTGCATCTAGATACTGAACAAGTAAAATAATAAAGGAAAAAAAATACAGAAAATGTTGGGCTTAAAAATGCAAGCCAACTACAATAATTACCTTCATTAAGAAGAAAAACCCGAGAGCCATAGGCCATGTAATCGTGGAAACCAAATGATAATTCATACCTGAGAAAAGCCCAATTTCGCTCCTAGTCCTTGGAAGAGAGCATATATGACTACAATGTAAATTCTATTTCAAAATTAAACATGAAATTCAAACATTATATGACAAAATGACATTTCATTATGGTGGAAACCCAGATAGGGAGGAAATCTTTTGTTAGGCCTATCTCTCAAAGAAAAAGGAAAACACAAGATCAAATTGTCATTCTGTTGTTAGTCCTACTATACACAGCTTGAAACTCCTGAAGGTATTTCGAAAAAAAATAACTATTTTTTCGATATAGCTGGATTCTATGGCTCCTCTTCTTCCTCAGGTGGCCCATTACAACCAAATGGGGGCGGAGGTGGATCAACACTCAATGTGCCCTCCAACACCTTAACCACCTCTCTCATTGAAGGTCTCCGGCGTTCATCAATTTGGAGACACCAAAATGCAATTCTTAAAGAACGTTCCAGCTCTTGCAGATTAAACCCACCACTTATTCTTTTATCCACTACATTCTCTGGACGCCCTTCCATCCACTCTGTGTACGCCCACTCACAAAGGTCCCCAACTCCTCTGCACCCACTAACCAATACTAACACCATCTTGCCAAAGTCCTCTACATCTCTCTCTGCAGAAGAGCACGATGCCTCGCTGACTACTTTTCCGAGTCCAAATTCAGTCACCTTGGCCTCTAAGTTTTCCTCCAATACCACATTCTCGCATTTCAAGTTTCCATGGCTCATAAATTCCCTACAGCTTGTGTGTAGATAACAAATGGCCCTTGCCACACTTAAACATATATCAAATCTCTTTCCCCAAGTCAGCTTCTTACACAATTTAAGATCTTCTAAATATTTCTCCACTGAACCATTCTTGGCATATTCATAGACTAGAAATCTGTGATCTAACTCACAACAGTAGCCCTGCAGTTTCACAAGATTTTTGTGATGAATGCTTCCTATCTTTGAAACTGCACTCCGGTATTTTCTTTCTTCTATGGTTATATTCAGATCTTTGATTGCAACTGGCTTTTTATTTGGAAGAACACCTTTGAACATCTTTGGCCCAATCTGATGCTTAAAGTTCTCTGTAAGCTCCTCAATTTCAGAGAAGGATAACACAATCAAACCATTTGAGTTGGGGCTGGTATAAGCCAAAGCGGCTTTCTTTCTATCCAAATTTCTTCTTCTGAAGAACCAGAAACCAAGTGCCAATTGAACTAAAACAAAGACAACGAACATTCCTGAGGCTACTCCGATCACACAAGGGAAACAAAACTTATGAGACTGCTCGAGTGGAGAAGGGGAGGTCGTCACATGATTGGGATTTACAGCTAATGGATATGCACACGTCTTCACAAAAGATACTGAACTTAGTGAAGGGTCTGAATAGCCAGTAACATACTGCGTTCTCTTCATTAAGCACCGTGCAGTTCCATCATTTGAGAAGGTTGCAGCTATACAAGATGGGTCATTCAGGCACAAACTCTTACATCCCTGTAAACTAACTTTGGCAACTAAATCATCAGTTGGTGGATACATTCCATACAGGAAAGTATGCATATATTTAAGCATGTCAGAACCAGAATCACACGGATGATTTGGAATCAAACATCTGGAAATGGATTCATTTGTATGCTTAAACGGGCATTCGCAATCAGGGGACCCAGATTCAGTAAAGACACAGATGCCATGTTGGCCACAGGTTGCAAAGACATTGCACTGGTTCTCAACAGCCTGCCAGACTGATCTCCATGACTTTGAAGGCTCTACCCATGAGTATAACCGGAGATTACCATCAACATCTAGCCTAAGAAATCTGTAACTTACAGAGTCATTGTGATCTTCTCCAAACAGTGACCAAACAGGTTTCAAGTTCTGGTCGCGGAGTTGTAGGGCTCCATCAGAGGTGAGGAAAGCACTGAGGTTCGAACTAGAAGGGCTTCCACTTGTCCAATAGATAACATGACTTTCCCATCGCAGTTGCAACTGACCAGAAGCATTCATGAAAAGAGTGTAGTAACTGGACACAGAATTCTTGCTTGCAGCTCGGAGTGTTTGAAACATAGAGAAGTTCTGTCCAGGAAGAAGTGTGTCAGAAGGTGTATCAAAACTTTGCCAAACAATATGTTTCTCTTTATTCAATAGGACAAGATTTCCATTGTCATTCAGAGCAGCTGAAACAACAGATAACTGCCTTGTTTTACTGCTCCATATCACTCCCTTTAAGGAATCAAATAAAATTAGTTCACCATCCTGGGTCAGTTGGACATAAGAATTGTTACCAAGAATAAGATCAGCTCCAGCAATCCACACCACAATTTGTTTATCAAGAGGAATAGACTTCGAATTGGAACGGATCCCAACACTATAGTTTGGCTCATCTGGACTGTTAAAAAATCCAAATGCAAAATCACCATTTGGAGAGACCCACATGTCTTTATCAACTATAGAAAGTTTTGAATCCAAGGGAATCTCTGAAGCGCCAAGAGAATGTAGCAGGAACCCAGCAAAGATACATAGCAAGAAACACAATTTGAGGAGAAGTCTGTCCTGTTCAGGCATATCTGAATATGCTTATAGATCCTACAAAAAACAATAAATGAGTACTATGCCTTCGAATCAAAGTGGGAAAAGATATATGAACATTTTCCTTTTAGAAATTTGCTGTAAAGGACACAAGTATATATGGAGATTACAATAAACTATATTAGGCTATAATCTAATCTAGGCTATAATTGGGGTCGACCCACGAAAGGTGGAGTGTAATACAAATAAGGTAAGATACAATTGCTAAAGTAACGGAATTTTATTCCTAACAATGCCTGCCATTAAGTACTGAATCACTAGGAAATTTAAGAGTAGAAATAGACGCATGTGAAGAAAAAAAAAAGGTTGGCTAGTTCCAACCTTTTCAAGACTAAGCCCACTGCAAAGTTAAAATGGCAGGAATAAAGATGACTCAGAGACAGAGAAAGAAAAAGAGAATCGTAGGCATTGGATAGATTTCAATGTTTCTAGGCCAAATGAAGATTGAAGTTCAAAACTTTCTATCATAAGCTCAAAGAAACAACCACCAAAATGAATTTCCTACAATTCAAGAAAGAACAGAATATTCAGAATTCAGTACCTGAAAAGACAGTCTAAATCCCAGAAATTCAACAAACCGGCGTGGATTGCCACCATGACCATCTCAGAAACATCCCATTATTATTCTAAGGGCCATAAGAAGATTGACATGTGAGCAGTCAATATTTGTAGAATCAAACAGAGATTGACTAAGTGATTGAGGCAGGAGAACGAAGTGACAAAAATGAGCTGTAAAGGAGTAAAAAATTGGAATTTTAGGGGATTATAAAGTGGGCGTTGAATTGATTCCTGGATATAAATGGGACCCAAATTAGGCAAGGCAATCACTTTCAGGGCTTAAAAGGTTAAAGACTCTGGACAATGATGCTGCAGATGCATCATCTCTGAATATTAAAAAGATGATAAATGTAGGAAATCTACAAAGCCACAAACTACACAAGAAATTCAGAAATCTGCCCCAAAAAAATACAAGAAATTGAGAAAACCCCATTTCTGGAACAAGCTTCTTCTATGGATTAAAACCATAGATTGGCAGCAACTAGAACAGATATGAAATGGGTTTGTTTCTCACTTATACTATGACTGAGTGAAATTTGGAAAAGAAAAATAAATGAAACTTTAAACATTTACTAACCAGCTTATCTCCAAGTAGAATCATTCCACGATGACTGCCTCCTAAAAAAATTCAAAATTCTGCTTGCAGAAGGATTTTACTTCTTTTCCTGGAAAGCTTTTCAAGGGCTACTTTTCCTAGAGGACCCAAAGACAGAAACTTTTACACTGAAAACAGACAATGGGTTCTTCTTGAACAGTTGAAGAAATGAAAACCAGGGGCCAAAAGCTGTGTGGATAAGAGAGAACAACTGGGGCAGACTGAGAGTAGGCAATGGGTTGAAATGGGAGAAGGATTGGGATGAAGCTGCTTAAACTGAAAGCATTCTACTGAAGAAAAGTGAGAAAGTGGAAGGTGGGGGGTTGATGTAGCCGGAGATGGTGACAAATAGTCGCCGGAGAAGAGGCAGAGTAACCATATTGGGAAAGAAAGACTCAGGAGAATTGTATGGTAGTGAGTGAAAGCAAAGATTTTGGCTACTAAAAGGGTTTTCAGGATTAATTGTTTCTTTTTCTTTTTTAACAAGGTAAACAAACATTTACGCATGGCCAAAAAAAAAAGTAAAAAGTTACTTTACTTGGCTTCATTCAAATAAAGAATATTCCCAAAAAAATAATAAAGAATATGCTAACCAGTGCAAATTCAGTAGTCAACGTAAGGACTTTGACCACCCACTATTAGTGAGATGTGGAGATTAAGACGGCTCAAGTGACGACAGAAAGGAAGAACACTAGAAGGATTGGAAAAGTAATCTTCGATTTATTTTGGCGAATAAGTTTACAAGTGTATTGCATATGAATTGAGCTATCTTTCTATTAAGGAGCCAGTGCCATGTTACCTTCTATTTATAGAGGTACATGGGATATTCTATGGTTATCTAGAGTGGCTCGGCTTATTGAGTCGATCACGTCAGTTCTGACTGCCCATTGTGTATGAATTGAGGACCAATGGGATGCCACCACTTACCCGTTATGAGTACCTTATAGTGTTTATAGGGGCAATGCACAGAGTAACCTCTAACTCCTATTACATTACGTCAGTCCTGATCGCTTGTTGTGTCTGAGCTGAGGACCAATGGAATGTTGTCACTTAGCAGTTATGAGTACCTTATGATGTTTATAAGGGCAATACACATAGTAACCTCTAACTCATGTCACATCACGTCTAGGAGTGAATAGCCACCTTATACGTGGAATCAGAGGTGATTGAGGCGACAACTTTGAAGGGGGATGTACTCCTTTAAGTCGAGTCTTATCATCGACATGGCTCTCCCATCGCCAAGCGTAGGATAAGTATTCGTTCTCGGTTAAGTTATCGAGCTGAGGTATCAGTTGAAAATTTCTGCAACGGGCGCAAAAGGGAATCGTGATGACTGACAATCACTAGTGGTCGAACCAGAAGGTCAGAAGGTTAGTGGATTGCTAGTATTTTAGTCAAGTCCTAGGAGCTTAGTGGTCGAACCACAAGCAGGTGATTGGTCATTTGTATGACCAGAGCGCCCCTCGTGGTTGGCTCTTTGAGGAGTACTATAAGGCCCAGCCCTACGTAGAGGGATATGGCCACATGTCATGTTTGTATTGTGAAGATTAAGACGGCTTGAGTGATGACAGAAAGGAAGAACACTAGAAGGATTGGAAAAGTATTCCTTGATTGATTTTAGCTAATAAGTTTACAAGGGTATTGCATATGAATTGAGCTATCTTTCTATTAAGGAGCCGGTGCCTTTTTACCTTCTATTTATAGAGGTACATGGGATATTTCTAGAGTTGTCTACAGCGGCTCGGCTTATTGAGCCTATCACGTCAATCCTGACGGCCCGTTATGTCTGAACTGAGGACCAATGGGATGCTGTCACTTAGCCGTTATGAGTACCTTATGCTGTTTATAAGGGCAATGCATAGAGTAGCCTCTGACTCCTGTCACATCACATCAGTCCTGATCGCTCGTTGTGTCTAAACTAAGGACCAATTGGATGCTGTCACTTAGCAATTATGAGTACCTTATGATGTTTATAAGGACGATGCATATAGTAGCCTCTAACTCATGTCATATCACACCTAGGAGTGAATGGCCACTTTATACGTGGAATCGGAGGTGACTGAGGCGACGGCTCTGAAAGGGGATGTACTCCTTCTTTAAGGCGGGTCTTATCATTGACGTGGCTCTCCCATGACCAAGCGTAGGGTAAGTATTCGTTCTTAGTTAAGTTCTCGAGCTAACGTATTAATTGAAAATTTCTGCAATGGGCACACAAGGGAATCGTGATGACAGACAATCACTAGTAGTCGACTCACCTTTACTCGATTCAGAAGGTCAATGGATTGCTAGTATTTTAGTCAAATCCTAGGAGTTTAGTGGTTGAACCACAAGCAAATGATTTGTCATTTGTATGACTAGAGCACCCCTCGTGGTTGGCTCTTCGAGGTTTACTATAAGGCCCGGCCCTATGTAGAGAGATATGGCCACATGTCATGTTTGTATTGGGTAGACTAGGCTCGCTCATTTCCTTACGTCAACATAATATTTTATAGAAAAGAAAGGCACCCAATTCTCTCTTCTTCTTTTTCCTTCTTTTTTTTGTTGGTTTTGTTTTCTATGGGAGATAAAAAGAAATGAGGGAAAAGCACCCAGTATATTCCACACGTGAATCCAACTATTTTATCCATTGTAAAAGTTACAGCCTATCTTTTCTTTAAAATATTCTGCACATTTCTAATATTTTGCATTCCAATGAATAATTTTTTATTTTATTAATTTCATACGTCTTTATAGGGGAGATTCTTACGTGCGGCTGTCGTATACGGGCCCGGCAACACACTCACATGATATGGACCAACCGTGAGGCTGGGTGTGACCAAAATACATGGGAGCACTAATCTTCTGTGAGGATGGTCGCACAGTCCAGGTGGCTGGCTACCGAATTGAAGAATTTCTCGTATTCATGAACAGTATCTCCATATCATGATTCATGAACCCCAAAATCTTAAATTTGTAATGATATCAGAAATGCACAGTAGAAAAAGGCATAGTCTCTTAGGAAGAGGAAAATTTCTAATCAAATCTACAAATGATTATAATTTGTCCTTTCATATTCATGATGAGTGTAGCCAGCGAACATCAACAAGGAAAAGCACAAAAAGAAAATGGTTACATCAAAAATGAAGACAACGCATAGTCCACTTACGAACAAAAGTAAATTATGTACCCTTATTACCTCACCCAAGTGATCAAATTACAATATTACAAAAACAAAAGCACAAAATCATTATTCATTCACTTCAATAACAAACCCAAAACTCAAAACCCAAAACCCAACGAAAATTGATGAAGAAATTAAAGAACATACCTTTTTAGCAGAGTCGCTATTGCTTTAGAGCATTTCCAACTGATATGTCAAATTGTTTTAGGCTCTTGAAACTGTATATTCAAAAACCCTAGTATGAAAACCTAGTCAAAGGAGTGTAATAACTATAAGATGATGTTTTTTTTTTCTTTTTTGGAAAACTAAGAAGGAATGAATTGAGAAAACATGATATCTTTTAATTTCACAGATTGCTATCTTTTAATTTCACAGATTGCTATGTTACCTCACCTAAGTGATCAAATTACAATATTACAAAAACAGAAACATAAAATCATTATTCATTGACTTCAATAACAAACCCAAAACCCAATGAAAATTGATGAAGAAATTAAAGAACGTACCTTGTTAGCATAATGACTATTGTTTTAGAGCATCTCCAACTGATATGTCAAATTGCTTTACGCTCTTGAAATTGTGTATTCAAAAACCCTAGTATGAAAACCTAGCAAAAGGGGTATAACTATAAGATTTTATTTTTTATTAGAAGAACCATAAGAAAGTTTTTAATTTTCTTATGATCTGCTGAATGGGGGAGAACTAAGAAGGAATGAATTGAGAAAACGTGATATCTTTTAATTTCACAGATTATTATGTTGCCGCTCTTTCCTTTTTCAACCAAGTTGCATTGTTTAGATAATTTTATGAACATATTTTTTCGGAATATTTAAAATTTAATCAATTTGCGTCTTTTCTGTTTTTAGAAAAGATTAAAAAATGAAATATAAAGTTTCCCGCCCAAATATATCTCATCCCATCTTTGTACACCCCACTTCTTCATCCCACTTTAATCCAGAAGCCCCTTATATTATCATTCTGTCACCCAAACCCTACAACGATTACTTAATTAACAAGGAAAGAACACTGATTTAATGAATTTCAATTTTTTTTTTAACAAACAGTAGTCTAGATTATTATAACTAAATCTAATTTATAAGAAAAGGGATTCGAACTTGAATGTAAGGGGTGAATTCATTGTCTTAATCAACTGGCGTAGGAGATGATTCAAGACGGATAAAAAAAAAAGGTTAAAAGTTGGGATATGAGGAAGGTGAAATATCTCCTATGTAATGATGCAATTGATTAAAAAACACAGCAAGCAAAGTGTAGAAAAAGCATAGGATCCAAGAACCGAAGGCAGAGAAGTTGATCTGAAATCCTATTAACTATGATATATCATAAAACCACGACAAAAACATTGGAGGAGGCCCAGCTGTCCTTCCATGAAGTCAAGCTATCCATGATTAACAAAATAGACAACTGACACAGAAGTCACAGACTCACCCACCCACATCTGATATCGATCAGTTTCAAGGAACAAGAAGATAATCTCCAAAGCCATAACCAAAATATTTATTTATTTATTTTTTTTAAAAAAAAAGAGAGAGAGATTCTCTTCATCTTTTGCTTCCTGCTTTTCTTTTTTCTCAAAAGGCTACAAGAACGCCAAAAAGGCGAAAGCTCTATGAGCTGCATGCAGTGCGATAAAAATAGCTTTCCTCCACTCTCTGATTCTCCGTTGCAATGGACCCACTGAACTTTATATTCTGAGAAAATACTTGAAATTTTTTCAAAGGATTTCAAATTTTCAACTCTATCAGTAGCTTTGAATGGACCATCAGATACCACAACAAAATGGGCCCCTTCGCCAGACTGAGGGCTTTGAGTTGTTCAACTGCTAAGCCCGTGATGTCAAAGTTGTGCATCTTCAATAATTCAAACCAATGTCGTCTTCTTCGCTAGGTATATATTCCTTAGCCGCTCGATAGGAACTGTAGATGTGGATGAAAAATGTATCACCGTAACAATTTACAATAAATAAATAAAGTAGGTGGTTCACTACTAATGATTTTGAGGCGTACTTAAATAATTGCGAAACATTTCTTTAAAAATTTGCTTATCTATCAATTGCAAAAAGAACAACCAAATTTTTATTGCGCAATGATTATTGGAATACTGTATGCTAGAATTCTATTGTGCTTAATCTTTCAATTAAATTATATAAAAGTGCTAGCGACATGGTTTCAAGACCTACAAAGAGGGTGGTTCATGCATGTACAACACAAGTGATTCATGTGGAGTA